TGGTGGGCAGAGCACAGATAGCCCATTGTGTAGCTTTTTGCTTAATTACGAACAAACGGTATCAAATAAAGATTGTTGCACTTAACCTAAAAAAACAAAAAAAAACTTGTTCTCTCTATAGTATTGCTTGTTCAACACAAAACTCAGTCAAGTATTCACATTCAGACCACTCTGCAAATTTCTGTTATTAGCTGGCCTATCCGATAGTTTCGTGGAAACTAGTTTACCTAAGAATACCAAATGTGGATAGCATAAGGAAATTCTAACTAATATAGTTTACAGCCGAAAATTTTGCTAACAGCGATGGTACTCAACTGAGGGAAAAATGCTTTGTAATCTTCATAAATACGTTATTTTCTTATTGCAAAGCTACACAATAGGTTATCTGCAATCCGTCCTCCGTGAGAACTCAAACACCGGATTTAAGTATTAAAAGTCTGTAAAACTTTTATAAATAATAACGTAAGAAACGTATATTATATTAACTACAATAATTAACAATATCGAGTTTTAGTTTCGATCTAAGTAGGTAGCTTGTTGTAGGTGCCGTGAAACCTTATAAGTGTAGTGAGTATTTGTATAGTAAGCCTAAAGTAAAGATGTAGTGCGGGATCACCTAGCCTAGGCTTTTCTATATATCAGAAGTTGTTAATCTAACTGATTTGTACAAATAATTACTCTATGAATACGCCACGAATTCATTTAATAAATTATCTTAATTTTCATTGGCTCACAAAGGAATTTACTGACGTTTGACTGCCTCGACTGCACTTTTCTGCCTCTTTGTTGGTCAAACTTGATTACGCAAAATATATTTATTTCAGTTAGCTATGAAATGTGAGGTTAGGTGAGGGTGGGGTTGTAGTACTTGCCCCGTCATTTTTGAGGAACTATACGCTAGTTATATATAAGAGATCCTAATAAAATATTTCTATCACATACAAAATATTCCTATCCAGCCAGAAATGATGTCTAAATTACTTTAATATTTATAACAAGACATTGCCATATGTTTAAATAGTTTGTTTGTTTGTTTTGAATTTCGCGCAAAGCTACACGAGGGTTATCTGCGCTAGCCGTCCCTAATTTAGCAGTGTAAGACTAGAGGGAAGGCAGCTAGTCATCACCACCCACCGCCAACTCTTGGGCTACTCTTTTACCAACGAATAGTGGGATTGACCATCACATTATAACGCCCCCACGGCTGAAAGGGCGAGCATGTTTGGTGTGACGGGGATTCGAACCAGCGACCCTCAGATTGCGAGTCGAGTGCCTTAACCACCTGGCCATGCCGGGCCTGTTTAAATAGACTAGAACATTAAAAGCCCTGCTAATATCGTGAAACGTAATAGACTGCACTCTGGGAATACGTTTAATCATCTTGACGTACTATTACAGTTAATACTCAGCGAATTACCCTGTTCTAGTGAAATGCATAACGTATGTATGTGCTTACATTTCCAACATAAAGGGCAAATCAAAAATAACTAGATATTTATTTATAGAAATAAGTACTTTTAATAATAATGCACTTTCATTGACATAAATATTTAATGGGAAATGTGTATAACGTATTATAGACTTAATATATGTGCGAAATTCTTTTTCACATTTACTTATCTCCACATAGCCGCTCATTACTTCATCGTGTTCGTGAAAGCAAGTATCCGTTGTCATGAATAAATACTCAAAACGTGATTCAATTAAATACACTTACTAAACAACCTGTAAAATCACCAGTATGCGGGATTTAGACCCATCCACCCATACTTACACATGAAATCGAACTGAATCAGATAAGTATTGCGTCCAGTCGATGTATCTGTTGTCTTTTTTTAGCAATGTGCTAACTGCGCTCTGTCCAACACGGAAGATCGAAACGAGCATTTTAGCGTTGACCCACTGGGTTTCAATGAAATAAACATCGTAATTCACTCTGCCGGTGTGGAAAAGTTTCATCCGGATATGCATTGCTATTTCGATTTATCAAAAAAACAAAACAAAAAACAATAACTTTTTTTTTTTTGCTTCCGATACGCTGGAAACTATAGAAAGTAAAAACATTTTTTTTTGAAGTAAATCTGAGACAGTCTGTGCTTCCGATAAATAAATACAACTAGGGAAATAAATATTTATGTGGAAAGAAAAAATTCTGTCTATGGAGCCTTTCTAGAATCCACTCTTAATCAACATTACAGCGGATTATTCAGTTTGATTCTTTTGAATTTCGCGCAAAGCTACACGAGGACTATTTGCGCTAGCCGTCCCTAATTTAGTAGTGTAAGACTAGAGGGAAAGCAGCTAGTCATCACCACCCACCGCCAACTCTTGGGCTACTCGTTTACCAACGAATAGTAGGATTGACCGTCACATTATAACGCCTCCACGGCTGAAAGGACGAACGTGTTTGGTGGGACAGGGATTTGAACCCGCGATCCTCAGATTGCGAGTCGAGTTCCCTAACCACCTGGTCATGCCGGGCCTATTCAGTTTGAAATAAGACGCATCTCGAGTAACGATATTGAGTCTGTCAAGTACGATGTTAGAATGAAAAGCATTACTTTTACATAAAAGTATAAAATCTAGTGCGAAGAAATGTTAGAGCTACTTCTTCAACTTTCACATATTAAACAATAGGGATACACACCTATTTATACCCTTCTTTCATCTGTGGTAGTAAATGGGCGTAGTGTTAAAATGTGTACCAAGTATTGTACTATAACACAATCAAAAAACACATTACATCACTGCATTTCTGTGTTAACGTTTAGCATAAATTTCACGAAACTAATCAAATTTTGCTCAAGGGTTTTGTACAATTATACGTTAAATATTTTCAAACTTTACATTTCAAGATGTCGCGTTTTATTTGTGTTTACACAACTTTGATTACACGATCAATTAATTAACTGTTCCGTATTCAGTAGGACTTTATTAACGTACTTTTAAGAATGGTGAAATCCCCCACAGTATATAAGTGTAAACAAAATACAAACTTTAGGCAATTGTTTATATATAAAATTAGCACAATAATTTATGACATACAAATCAACTGTGCAAATTAAGTGCTAATATTATTAATCTCAGAATTCGGCGTTTTTAAAATTAATTGAACTGCAGTTTTTTTACCAGTTTGACACAGACACACAGCGCATTAAATCGACTATGAGAGATTATAACCACCTTTCTTAACTATAGTACCGAAGTAGGTGTGTAGTCATAGTGTTCATAATAGGTTTGTTACAAAGGGAACCTGTATAATCAAAAAAAGCTTACCAATAATTTGTAACCTAGCATTTAAAATTAGTTCTTACATGGACATGTACAGTCATAGAAACAAGTTCATAATCGATAATATAATAACTTCAGAGTAATTCTAGATTAATATATCAAATTGCATCTTGTACAATAGTTATTCAAATTAGGTACGTGAATGACAGTAAAATAGTTGTTGTTATATAGGGGTATACAGAGTTTACTTATCATTTGCATAAAATCAGAAAATGGGAATGAAAGAGACAAAAAACGAAGTTCCTGAAAAAAAAGAGACTTTATTTGAGAAAAATGATGACCAGATCAGATCGTAAGATGAAATAGGCACTGTTACGTCACCACACGTTCACAACGTTATCTACATATTTACATAATATGATTACTGCACATACACTTTAGAACAGTTAATAATATTTGTTCATTGTTCATCTCGTAAATACTCCCATCATCAGAATCACTTGCGCATAATATAAGCAGAAAGCAATGAAGTTCGAAACAATTGGGATCAGCAAAAATGTGATAAAATTGTTCGCTAATAATGTTTTTTTTTGTTTATTACAGTTCAACACATAGTAGTTTTGATATATTATTTTCATGTTTTGATACACCACTGCACATAGCACGTATAAACAACACATCTTCAGCGATGGTCCAATATCATAACTAATAGAAAGCTCTCGCCAAAGGAGTTTATAATATGCTGTCTTTTCTCTGTATTTACATAGCGTTAGAGGCTTATAAGTAAATATCACGATTAACACCAAACGGATAACTATCTTTATCTTAATGTTACGGTTTCGATGCCCAGAATATCTCTAATATTGTTGTCCAGTTGTACTACGTCAATGGTTGTGCTCCCATCAGTGGCTACGTCTTCTAAAAGGCTGTCCAATCGTGTGCCTGTCAAAAGTTGGCTGCAGGTGGCGCTGGTTTCAATTTCATGTTTGGGAACAGGAAATATTTCGATGTAGCTGTGAACGAACTTAAATTTCTCCTTGGTGTAGTTAATTTGGTTTAACACGTCGGCAAGACGGAGACAGTTACATATCCTAAAAAGGGACAAATATATGTTGATCCTGCTTACAGCGTGCACTTTTTATGTTTTATCATTTGTTCAGAACACAAGAAAACATCAAAACGATACTGTTTCTATAACGTTAAAATCTGAAGTATCCAAATATGTATTCTATGTTTACGTCTAACCAATTTCTGTTCAATTTGTGTTAAAGAACTGATCTATTTACGATAATTATATTCTATAATATTGTAGAAATGTTTATCTAAGGATTAAGCAAAAACATAGGCGAAGGATTTCTTACACCGTTTTGTTTTCATGAGTTCTCTATAAGAACATCAACAAATTTTGCATGGAGAAAGAAATGTATTGTAAAACGAAAACAGAAAGGAAATAATAACTTTTTTCACTCATATGAACATGCAGGGCGTAAAAACATTACGGCAAACAAACCTTTTGAAATCTGTTTATGTATAAGGGTGTTCTCACTACACACTATACAAAGTCAGAATCGAGATGTATTTGATCTCCACTGATTAATGAAGCTGGTATTGTTATTAAGGTTTATTCTCAATGGAAACCCTCAAATGCACGTATTAGCACTTTTGTAGTAGAGTTGAGAACTTTAATTTACTGCAACTGCATGTTGAATGAAAAGGGGACGGCGTTTCGACTTCTATACTAAAGCCTTTTGTAGGTGTCGACCCTGAAGAAGGCCTCAGTATAGAAGCCAAACGTTGACCCTTTTCATTCCACATGCAGTAAGTAGTCCATTAAAGTTTCCAAACCTACTATGAATACTCCGCCAAAGTTCTACTGAAACAATAGCACTTCTGTAGTCATATTATTAAATATTTGGTGGGGGAAGGGGGTGCACGTGTGCATAAATAGCAAAGTTTCTGTGTTGCGTTTATAGATTTACAATAAAAAAAAACATTATAATATGCTAGAACCTGCCACATTTATGGTAACTGATATTGAAAACACGCGTATTTTGATCGAATGCACAAGTTTTGTATGCAGCAAATTACGCTAAAGTTTGATTTTCATATGATTATCAAAAAAGGTTATGTTAAAGCTAAATGCTCACAAGCACATGCACAAATAGTGAATGTTAGTTCTTTCTTATTCACGCGCTGATAAATCTTTAACAACTCGTTTTAGCTTATCTTCTTTTAACCAAAAGTATCGCGACATAAACAGTTTATTCCAGTGGGCCTACACAGCACGGTTAATTAAAACAAACCGCGTTGTTGGGACCATCACCGGCAGAAGCATTTTTGGCGTACTTACGCCTTGCTGTTGTTGCCAGGCAATTGCAGGCGGAAAGTCGGGAGGTGAGGGGTGTCGCTCACCTCGAACAGGAAGTCATCGTTCTCCTCGCTCTCATTCTCAGAGTCTAAAGGAAGTCCTTCCCAAACGTCGTAGCCTGTCTCTTCAGTATCTGAAAGATAAAAGATCGATTGATTATCACTGAGAATCACACTCACTATTGGTAACAGATTTATAGTAGACAACAGGACATCCAAAGCTGTAATGCAGACTTATTTCTACTTACAGAATCTACTTACTTTCGATACTATTTTAATACATCTATGCAGACATCAAGGCCCAAAAACAGACAAATAAAACTAGGAGGCTAATTATTTTGTGTTTGTTTGTTTTGAATTTCGCGCAAAGCTACACGAGGGCTGTCTGCACTAGCCGTCCCTAATTTACAGAGTAAAACTACAGGGAAGGCAGCTAGTCATCACCACCCACCGGCAACT